CAGGAGCCTAGGGCTTGGTGGGTGTTCAGGGGGCTCCACTACAACTTTCATGCTCTTGCAATAAACCAGGGGTGTAGTGCAAGTGGTTAAAGCTCTAGACCTGCCAATTAGGTAGTTGTGGGCAGTAGGGTACTTGTAGACAGTAAGGTACGATGGAGCCATGTCTAAATAGACAATGCAAATGGGGAAGCCTTCCTGTGCTATTGCAGTCCTATTTCATCCAAAGAGATGGGGGAGCAAAACATTGGCCTGGGGCTCCATTCTGCCTTAATCTGTCGCAAATGAGCATATTAGCGCAAATTCCAGTTTGCATTAGTTGGTAGATATGTGGTAGTGCTGGATCAGTAGGAATAAGAATTAATATTAGGGTGTTATCACTGGAGGAGGTGAAGCTCTTGTGAAAGTATAGCATCTATAGACCTGGTTCAAGTCTTTGGCTGATGCCTTTCTGATCACGATGGAAGAATTGCTCTTCAGAACATCAAATATTGGACATATGGTTGTAAAAATGGCCATCTCACTTTGTTCAAAACATTTAATGGGCAAGGACATCAGGTACAAGGGACAGTCCATCACCGAAGCATGGGAGAGCATTATCTCCTTGCAATGTGTTTAGGGGAAAAGGACTCACCCTTCAGGGCTTGAGCAACAGTTTTTTTGATAAACTCAGGATGAACTGCTATATGGAGCCTGGATTGGGACTCGATCAACGCTGAGTGTCAGCATATCTTGACCAGAGTGAGGGCAACCAACTCTGCCCTGAAGTCAACCAGCAATTTAATGAGGTATTACCACAATGGTGTGACCACTCCTGTGCTCTTCAAAGCAAGCAACTCAGTTCCCAGTCTCACAGAGTTGGCCCTACTGAAGTCTTACCATCAAAGAAACAAACCTCTCTGAAGCCTTGGTTTAATGGTAGCACCACTGCTCACCACCTTGTTCCCCCATGTTGTCCCTACAAAAATCCTGTTCACAATTTTAATCCTTTGCCATGCAACAGAGCCTTATGGCAGAAATGTTTTGCTCGAAACCTCCAACTGAGCTGTCTTATAAAAAATGAATAATTCAGGTTGAGCTACTGAGTTTAGTAAACAGGCATCTTACATCAAAGTAAACTAAATATTAGTATGTTATATTTCAGATTTAGAATACCTGATAAAAAAGGACATTATTGTTATTATTATTATACAGTATTTATAAAGCGCCAATAGTTCGCTCAGCGCTGTACATTACAAAGGGGGACAGAACATGTGACAGAACAATACCAATACAATGCAAAACATGAGGGGATCGAGGGCCCTGCTCTTTCGACCTTACAATCTAGAAGGGATGGGATAGTGGTACAGGAGGAGATAGCTGTGGGGGATGGAGTGGTAGGAAGAGTGGAGGAGGTCGGTCAAGTTAGCAGGGGGTAGGGTAGGCTTCCCTGAAGAGATGGGTTTTCAGGGTGCGCCTAAAGGAGAGGAGAGTAGGTGATAATCTGATGGGTTGGGGCAGGGAGTTCCAGAGGATGGGTGACACCCTGGAGAAGTCCTGGAGGCGGGCATGGGAGGAGGAGACCAGGGAACTAGAGAGAAGGAGGTCTTGTGAGGAGTGGAGTGTGCGTGCTGGGCGGTACTTGGATATTAGGTCAGTGATGTAGTATGGGGCAGCAGTATGGTGGACAGCTTTGTACGTCAGTGTTAGGATTTTAAATTTGATCCGTTGCGCAATCGGAAGCCGGTGGAGGGATTGGCAGAGGGGGGTGGCGGAGATGGAGCAGTTGGAAAGGTGAATGAGTCTGGCAGCCGTATTCAGGATCGACTGAAGCGGGGATAGCCAGTGGCGAGGCAGGCCAGTGAGGAGGGAGTTGCAGTAGTCGAGTCGTGATATGATGAGGGAGTGGATGAGCTGTTTAGTGGTTTCTGGGGTTAGGAACGTGCGGATTTTGGCGATGTTGCGGAGGTGGAGTCTGCATGAGTTTGTTAAAGATTGGACTTGGGGCTGGAAGGATAGGTTGGAGTCCAGAATGACACCAAGTACTCTGGCCTGCAGGGCGGGTTTGATATTGGCGTTGTTGGATGTGATGGAGAAGTCAGTGGGGGGTGTGGTGTCCGGGCTGGGGGGAAGACAAGAAACTCGGTTTTGGAGAGGTTCAGTTTAAGGAAGTGGAGCGACATCCAATCTGATATGTCGCTCAGTAGGTGTGTGATTCGGGCAGAGACCGAGGGGGTGAGGTGGGGGGTTGAGAGATAGATTTGTGTGTCATCGGCGTAGAGGTGGTAGTTGAAGCCGTGAGAGTGTATGAGTTGGCCAAGGGAGGAGGTGTAGATGGAGAAGAGACATATGGTACTTTAGCATTTTATTTATCTTGGTCTTGCCCATAATAAGTAAAGAAAGAATTTATGTTTGAAACCAATTTACAGTACCTTTAGAGGCCTGTGGTCAGGAGACTGCTTGCCAGGCATTAGGAAGGAGTAAGTACCCCCCATTTTGATGTGTATGCATGGGAAGCATTTTCAGTAGCATTAATAAGAGGTGGTTGGCGGGTGGTTCTGAGTGCTGCCAAGTTCCTTTCGAAACAACTGAGCTATATAGTTGCATTGAGCTAAATAGTCCAGCCTACGTGTAAGCCATTGGGAGGTGGTATGGATCAAACTACACAAATGTCTTCTGCCTATTCAATGTATTGCTTCTCGCGAGAGTGGTAGGAATGTGGGTGGATTGGTGTTCCAACAGCACAATTTTAGTTTTTTCAGGTATTTACCAAAATATATTCAAGCTATAGTTATATAATGGATATGGGCTAAAAGTGCACACTCACTGGTTAAATTTGAGGGTATGTACATTCAAATTGGAGGAAGGGTTTAGGAATTACAGCTCTTAAGAGTAGCCATCCCCCTTATTCAAGGCACCAAACGTAATTGGACAATTGAATCGCAAGCTGTTTCATGGCCAGGTGTGGGCTACTCCTTCCTTATTTCTTCATCAATTAAGCAGGTAAAAGTTCTGGAGTTGATTCCAAGTGTGGTATTTACATTTAGAATCTATTTCTGTAAACATACATCATGCATTCAACATTAGGAGTGGCCAAATCAACAGTTTGGTACATTCTGAGGAAAGAAGAACGTACTGGTGAGCTCAGCAACATAAAAAGGCATGGATGACCACATAGAACAACAGTTGTGGATGATCGCAGAATCCTCTCTATGGTAAAGAAAAACCCATTCACAACATCCAGACAAGTGAAGGACACTCTCCAGGAGGTGGGCGTATCATTGTCAAAGTCTACAATCAAGAGAAGACTTCACGAGAGCAAATACAGAGGGTTCACAAAAAGGTGCATCTGTACCAGAATGACAGAAAGAAAAGTGTGGAGAAGGCTTGGAACAGCTCATGATCCAAAGCACACAACATCATCTGTCTAAACATGGTGGAGGCAGTGTGATGGCATGGGCATGCATGGCTTCCAGTGGCACTGGGTCATTGGTGTTTATTGATGATGTGACAGAAGGCAGAAGCAGCCGGATGAATTCTGCAATGTTTACAGATATACTGTCAGCCGGATTCAGCCAAATGCAGCAAAGTTGATTTGACAGCGCTTCACAGTACAAATGGACAATGATCCAAAACACACTGCAAAAGCAACCCAGGAGCTTTTGAAGGAAAAAAAGTGGAATAATCTGCAATGGCCGAATTGAGCATGCATTTCACTTGCTGAAAGCAAAACTAAAAGGCAGAAAGACCCACAAACAAAGAAAAACTGAAGACAGCTGCAGACAGAGCCTGGCAAAGCATCAGAAAAGAGGAAACCCAGTCTTTGGTAATGCCCATGGGCTCCAGAGTTCAAGCAGTCATTGCTAGTAAAGGATTTTCAACAAAATATTAAAAATGGACATTTTATTTATGATTACATTCATTTGTCCAAAAACTTTGGCTTACGGCCAAAGCTAAAAAAAGCTATAGATAATAAGAAAAGAGCTTTTATTCGATATAAAATTGAAGGAATGCGATCATCATTTAAACATTACAAAGAATATAACAGAATATGCAAAAAGGAAATAAAGGCTGCAAAAATTGAAAACGAATGACAGATTGCAAAGATAGCAGGACCAACCCCAAAATACTCTTCAAATATATTAATAGTAATATAGCAATATAGCATGTAGGCCCTTTACAAAATAATCTAGAGTGGGTGACTGGGGACAAAGAGAAGGCAAATTTATTAAATACCTTCTTCAGCTCTGTGTATAGAAAGGAGTCTAGCAGCAGTATTCATGATAGGCCGAAGGGGGAATAGCCTGTGTAACCGTAAACCAGTGAGGAGGGAGTTACAGTAATCAAGGCAAGATAAAACCAAGGCGTGGATAAGTTGTTTTGTGGTGTCATTGGTCAGAAAGAGGCGGATTTTGGAAATGCTCCAGAGATTGAGGCGGCAGGATTTAGCCAGTGAGTGGATGTGGGGCCCAAAGGAGAGGTCAGAGTCTAGGATTACGCCTAGCACCCTGGCATGAGGGGAAGGACCAATGGTTGTGCTGTTGATCTTAATGGTAAAGTCATGAGTGGTGGATCGGGGGAGGAGGAAATATTACATATTATATAACTATAGCTTGAATATGTTTTGGTAAATACCTGAAAAAAAAAACTAAAATTGTGCCTGTGTCCAAATATATATGGGGACCTAACTATGTACAGTATATATAGAGAGAGAGAGAGAGAGAGGAGAGGGAAAGCTAGAGCACATGTTTTTACTATTTATCAAATGAACCCCTTATAATAATATAATAATTATAAATATGCAAGTAGCAGGATTAGTTGTAGAGTTATAGTCAAGGTAACTGACACCGCGTATAATGACCATTAGCATTCAGAGCTCTTCTGTACAGGGTATTAGAAAATTTCATGCCTCTCTCTTAAACCGCCGGACAGCACAACAGATACATGAGCCCCACTATTTGAATAGACATGATATCCTGAAGGAAAAACCTAAAAATAAATGTGACCCCAAAAAAAGTTCTCACCATTTGTGTCAGTGACGTAGTCCTCGGGAAGTGTTGCAGTCGCGGGTTCGTTAAGTAATGTTGGTAGTGCTGAGGAACAGGTCTGACCTGGAACTGTGCATGTGGCAAACTGGCATCCACACTGAGGTCCCTGGAAGAGGAATGACATTTACATTGCATTTATTGATAGATAGATATTGTAGACGGACGGACTGACGGATGGACAGACAGACAGACAGACAGATAGATAGATATTGTAGACAGACCGATAAATAGATAGATAGATAGATAGATTTGATAGATAGATAGATAGATAGATATTGTAGACAGACAGATAGATAGATAGATAGATAGATAGATAGATAGATAGATAGATAGATAGATAGATAGATAGATAGATAGATAGATATTGTAGACGACAGACAGACTCAAAAGTTTCAAGACTAATTTTGTAATACGCCAACAGATGGCAGCACAAGGTCACATGGAGCACTGACCTTCATAAGTCAGTGTGCCAAAAGACATCGTCCTGTGTACATCAGGAGCTGTGCAACTGGTGCTATTCTGACCACGTGGGTTACCACGTCTGCTATTTCATCATGGACAGCATGTTAGAACAAAGAGCAAACATGAAGTGAAAACTGGGCAAATCACTGGATCTCCACAATGTTGTCAAAACGGCGACCTTTGACAGATCCAGCAATCTTCATCTTCGAGAAATGGGTAATTTCGGGGGTTGAGCTCGTTGAAAGTCTTCCTGATTTCTCGTCATCTTCCAGTGATGCTCTTCCTCTCTTAAAGCGCATGTGCCACTCAAAACACCTCGAACGACTCATTGCAGCATGGCCGTAAACTTGCCGAATCATGTAAAAATGTCTCTGTGGCAGATTTGCAAGGTTTTCATGCAGAATGTCACGTTTGCTCTTTGTTCTAACTTGCGTCCATGATGAAATAGCAGACGTGGTAAAGCACATGGTCAGAATAGCACCAGTTGCACAGCTCCCAAGGTGCACAGGACAATGTCTTTTGGCACACTGACTTATGATGGTCGATGCTCCCTGTGACTGGAGCCTTGTGCTGCCATGTGTCGGCATGTTACAAAACTAGTCTCTAAACCAGGGGTGGGCAAACTTTTTGACTTGATCCAGCAATGGGTTCATCTTGGACACGGGGGCCGACCAAGAGTAGATGAATATGTGTATGTGTCATCCATAGTAAGTATAGTAATATTCCCCCATAGTAAGCATAGTAATTAATCCCCCATAGTAATTAATCCCCCATATAGTAATTCATCCCCCATCCATGATGCCCCATAGTAATTCATCCCCCATATAGTAATTTCGTCCCCTATAGTAATTCGTCCCCCATATAGTAATTCGTCCCCCATAGTAATTCATCCCCCCTATAGTAATTCATCCCCCATAGTAATCATCCCCCATATAGTATTCATCCCCCATAGTAAACTTGCATCCCCCACATGTAATTCATCCCCCACAGTAATTCTCCCCCCATATTAATTCATCCCCCATATTAAGATCCCCCATATGTAATTCAAGTAAGTCCTCCATATAAGTAATTCATTCCCCATATAGTAAGTCCTCCATATAGTAATTCATTCCCCATATAGTAAGTCCTCCATATAGTAATTCATTCCCCATATAGTAAGTCCCCCATATAGTAATTCATTCCCCATATAGTAAGTCCTCCATATAGTAATTAATTCCCCATATAGTAAGTCCCCCATATAGTAATTCATTCCCATAATAGTAAGTCCCCCCTATAGTAATTCATCCCCCATATAGTAAGTCCCCCATATAGTAAGTCCCCCCCCTGTGTCAATTCACTTTTGGTCCGCGCGTTCCTCTCGTATTCCCGCGCCGTTCTGGTCTTCAGGAGGACTGTGAGAGGAGTTCGTCACGCTGCAGCCTACATCCTGGCTGCCCCGCCTACATCCTGACATGCTGCAGAATAGCCGAGAGGAGGGAGGGGGGCGGCCATCCGAGAGCTCCGGCCATCCGAGAGGAGGGGAGAGGAGGGAGGGGACAATGTCTTTTGGCACACAGGAGAGCCGCATCTAAATTTGTAATGGCTCCGCGGCTGCCGACCCTTGTTGCGGGAGCCTAGCTCCGCGGCATGGATTAAAAGGTCTCTAAACGGGCCGTATACGGCCCGCGGGCTGTAGTTTGCCCATTGCTGCTCTAAACACTTTGATACCGTCTTGTAGATAGAGATAGATACAAATTGAGAAATGGAATAATATATACATATATTGGCAGTTTTGCAACATACAACCAGTTCAGTCTCCTACAATATGTGAAAATCTTTGCATCAGAAATCTTTTTCAACATTCAAGCAGTCTCTTTCAATATATCCTAATTCTTTTTAAGTCTCTTACAGCATCAAAAACATTGTCAGTCTTTTAAAATATGTTAGCACATGTTTTGGGAGACCCCATGGCTGCTGCACAGGGGCGGACTGACAACTCATGGGGCCCCCCGGGCAATAAGGGATCATGGGGCCTCTGTGTCCTTGCCCAAACTCAAAAAGGTACCAGAGACATCTCATGGGGCCCCCTACTGACCCCGAGCCCTCGGACGGTGCCCGAGTTTCCAAATGGTCAGTCCGCCCCTGCCAGTGCTGCAGGTCTCTTTGGTAGGCTCTTGAGAAATGTGAGCTGTTTCTTCTAGCATGGCAGAGGTGTGTTGCACAAATAGGTTATCCCATTGCTAAAATTCTGGTGGTCAAAACACATACTGTATATTCCCCAAATTTTCACTTTTCTGCCATGCTGAAAAGCATTTTTAAACCATTCCCACTTATACATGCCTACTTCCTTTAAAGGGGAATTTAAATCCTGTTGGGAAAAAAATAATAATATAGAATATAAAAATTGACATAAAAGCCATTTTGTAATTTAATGTTATCAAAGATGACCTTTCAATTTCAATCTGCAGCAGCTGTAATTTTCAAAAACATATATATGCAATATGGCAACCTGGAGGTGTCCTGTACACAGTTGGGGTACAAGAACATCCCCAGAAATATCATTTTCTGCTTTGGTGATTGGCTTACCAATTTTCTCAGAGGTCTGCACTAAAAGTTAAATTCTAGGCTTCCGTAGTAATAGGAAATTTATTTTTGGTGAGATAATCCCTAAGGGTTAATTACTTTTATTGGAATGCAGACCCTGTAACCAGTGGTGTATTATGGTTTTGTGCTGCCCTAGGCAACACAAATGTCGGGCAATCCCCTGCACCTGACATTGACCAACAACACGCCTGCCCACCCCCCACCTGAGAGATCCTTCCACTAACACACCTCCCCCACAAGAGAAACACACTCACCTTCACAGCTCCGGACATCCCCGGGAATGAGAGTCAGGCTCTCCATACACCATCAAGTAGCCCTCAGCCTCTCTTGGATCCCACCTGGTCTCCATGGTGCATGTGTCCTTTCTTCCGGGGGGCGGTGTTCCCCCCCCTGAAAAATGCCGCCCTAGGCAAATGCCTTGTTTGCCTTTTGGTAAATACGCTCCTTCCTGTAACTTTCCTTATTAGAACACGAAAAAATACACTGGGTGGTTGTAAGGGACGAGACCCTCCCATTCAGGAATCAGCCCTGAAAAGGACATAGGGGAGCAAACAGCTTTTTCCTCTCCATAGGGATAATTCATATCTACCCTTTACAGTCAGGTGCTGAGCTGCTATGCTTTGAAAGTTCTTTTCTAAATCTGCTAAATATATCAAGGCCAGTAAGTTGAAGAGCAATTTAGTAGAGACTAGATTGTCTTGATAAGTCCATCTGCAGAATTTTCCAAAATGCAAACAGATAAGGCTGGGCTTTCCTACAACTTTCTCCTAAAGATGTTACAGATTGATAACGAAACGTGTAGGGCAGATCTTCCGGCTGATGTTATACCAGCTGTCAGGGCTCCGGGTATGACCAGAGGTGTGTGGACTGACACAGGGAAACGCAGGTTTCAGATATAGTATAAATAAGACAATTTATTAAGACTAACAATACAAATATAAACGCAGTGCACCAAACCCCAAGCTAACACAAATACATACAACAAGGTGAAACAAACCCAAACCTAAACTGATATAGATACACAGGTACATACACATATAGAGCACAACATAGTCAGGCAGGCCGGGTCGATAACTATCGGGCAGGTAGGTACAGGAGGAGCAGGCGGAGAGAATGGTCAGGGTCACAAGCCAGGGATCAGACAGGAGAAGTCAGGAGAGGTCAGGATCAGGCAGGGTCGGCAACAAGTCAGGCAGGAACAGGAATGCAGGTTACAAGATACAGGGGCCCATGGAAAAACACACACCAAGGCACAGACTGCAGGTCTGTCCATTCCTTAAATACAACCCCTGCAATCAGCTTCAGGTGTTTTGGCTGACTGCAGGGGTGAGTCTCTGATTGCTGAGAGCACCCGCTGGCCAGCCCTGGTACTGCAGCCCACAAGGCAGGTGAGTCCCACCACTATTGGCAAGTCCATTCCTGACACCAGCAAGCTGGAACAAACAGCAGCCATATTGGACCCTGACATTTCCTGGTCTTTTCCATTAGAGAGGAAGTTGTGATGTTTTTATCCTGAAGATGTTGCAGATTGATAACGAAATGCGTAGGGGGGATCTTCTGGCTGATGTTATATCAGCAACTCGGAACAAACAGCCGCCATATTGGACCCTGCCATTTCCTGGTCTTTTCCACTAGAGAGGAAGTTGTGATGTTTTTATCCCAAAGATGTTTCTGATTGATAACGAAATCCGTAGGGAGGATCTTCCGGCTGATGTTAGATCAGTAACCCAGAACAAACAGCAGCCATATTGGACCCTGCCATTTCCTGGTCTTTTCCATTAGAGAGGAAGTTGTGATGTTTTTATCCCTTGAGCCATGCAAAGCAGTGAGCAGGAGCTGACAGGGAAGAGAACTGTATTGTACCTCGATCACCGGCTGCCGGCGGTTAATCACCGTCCGGGACCCAGTGATTAACAGCCGAGGCCGCAAATAGCGGCGCGGGTAGGGCACTCTCCCCCTACCCGGAAGTGCGAAATCATGTGTATATATACATGATTTTGTGCACTTCTGCCGCCCTGTAGCAGATTATCTGCTATAGGGCAGGGGAAAAGCGGTTAATAT